CTGCTTTACGCGGGAAAACTTTCACATGAAATAGATGAAGTCTTTGCGTTTGTTTGTTGTCTTTAATATAAGGGGCATGTAATTTCAAATTGTTACTGAAAACTTAGGTTATGTTACATTTCAGTAACTGGAATTTAAGAGCATGATCCTTTATGCCAGTGGTTCTCAACCTTCCTAAGGCCGCGACCCTTTAATACACTTCCTCATGTGGTGGTGACCCCCAACCATAAAATTATTTTTGTTGCTACTTCATAACTGTAATGTTGCTACTGTTAGGAATCGTCATGTAAATATCTGATATGCAGGATGTATTTTCATTGTTACAAATTGAACATCATTAAAGCATAGTGATTAATCACAAAAACAATATGTAATTGTATATGTGTTTTCCGATGGTCTTAGGAGACCCCTGGGAAAGGGTCGTTCGACCCCCAAAGGGGTCACGACCCACAGGTTGAGAACCGCTGGTTTATGCTATGATAATAGCAGATAACGTTTAAGTTATGCTACTGGGTATGGTACCACGTGCGTTTCAGTGTTTCCTCATTGAACCCTCTCAGGAAGTCTGTAACGTGCACTGTTACTGTTCGCATTTTACATAAAATACACTCAGGCCCCGAGAGGCCGAATCACTTGCCCGAAGCCCCTCACTTAGAACTGGCTGTTCTGAGCGTCACACCAGCGGCCGGACTCCGAGCCTGAATCATTTACTGTATTAAACGCCGGCCGTGGCTTTAGGGTTTATGAACGTTTGTTCTCTTCCTCACTGTCTCTGATTCATGAAACCCAGTGCACACGACAGACAGTGCTTTGCTGGCTGAGAACGTCTGTCATTCGCTGCTACTTGGTGACGAATTGCAGATTTACCGTTTCTCAGTAGCTCCGTGACGTTGGCAAAAGCCTTGTTTTTCTAATAGAGTTTGTTATACGCTTCGAATAGTTAGCTCAGGTACTTCAAGGTGCATTTCCTGTGCACCTGTGACTCTGACCCCAGGGGAGGAAGCATTGCAGTTGGAGGAACTGCTTGAAGGTTCTGCCGAGCGCGGGCTGAGTGGCGAGGGTGGCGGTGCCCGCCTGACGCTGTCCGCCTTCTGTTCCCTGTGCAGGTTACTCGGTGGCGGTCGGCGATTTCAACGGGGACGGCATCGACGGTACGATGGGCTCGAACCGCGTTTCTTCCCTTTTTACACACGGGGGCGGGCGTTGAGCAAGTCCAGCCCCTGACGAGCTCTGACACCGTTTCAGGGACGGTCCCAGCGTGAGGGGGGGTTGGTGCATGGACAGGAGCTGCCCGTGTCCGACGTCCTCAAGCCACGGCTGAGACGATGGAGCCTTTGCTGGGGGCGGGGGGCTCAGTCTCCCCCCAGCACCCCCTTCCCCGCCCCCCAGTTACGGGCAGACCTCGTTTCTTGAACGTCTCCCATCTCCAACAATTCAGTTGTCCACCAAGTTGTTCACAGAAAAAAATGTCTCGGTTGTCGACCAAAACTCCAGTTTTCGACCCTACAGCGCTTTCCGGCTGGCACCTCAGCGGGACTGCAAGCCCCTGGCAGGCGACGGCCGAGGAGAGGGGGCCTCGCTGCTGGGATTGGCGCCCCTTTAAAACGAGAGGCCTCCACCGGGCCAGCCTTGCGAGGGTGTGACTGTGCTCACAGAACAGCAACCACGGGCAATTGAAGAGCTAGAAAACCTTGTTGGTTTGGACAAAAGAAAAGCAATTAGCCTGGGATAGCGTCCAGGAGGCAGGGACAGGAATAACTCCTTTAGGGCTGGCAGGCGGTGGGTCTGTGAATTTAAGAAAAGTGTTTGTTTATACATTAAACAGCACATCAGGCATGGACTGTATAGGAAAGGTTGACATAGGGAATCAGTGGGGTCTGGAACGGTTAACTTAATTTACATTATTTAATGGGGAAATGATTCAGTTTTCGAAGGAATCGCTGCTCAGACAGCCTCTGGGGTGAAGTTAGTTCCAGAGACCAGCTTCCACTGTTTCCCTGGCTCCACCCCCTTGCTCAGTAGGCAGTCCCCTCGGAGGGCGTGGCCTCTCCTTCCTTCAGGCGAATCGGGACCCTCCCCTCTGGGCTCTGGGCATGGTGGTCACCCACCCTCTGTCCACCCGTCACCCCTCAGGGCTCACCTGGGGGCCGCAGACTTGCCCTGAGTCCGATCCCGTTTCTGAGTAACTGCAACCTCTACCCCATTTCATTTGCTTTGCTGGTTTTCTTCCTTCTTATCTTTTTCTTAAATATATTATTGACTTCAGAGAGGAAGGGAGAGGAAGAGAGAGATAGAAACATTAATGATGAGAGAGAATCATGGATCGGCCGCCTCCTGCACGCCCCACACTGGGGATCGAGTCTGCAACCTGGGCCTGTGCCCTGACCTGGAGTCGAACCCTGACCTCCTGGTTCCTAGGTGGACGCTCAGCCCCTGAGCCAGCCGGCCAGTGCTTTTCTTCATTCTCGGGCCACTTTATCTCACTGCTCTTTCCCACCAGATCACACACATGCGCTTATTGGAGGGTCCTCCTGAGTCTCTGTTCTGTACGTGTTTGATTTAGTGGGTTGAAAACACACTGGTCACTGGTTATGGAGAACCGATTCTTTAAAAAATCTCTTACTTATCGTCCGTTGAAATAACAAAACCTACAGCTTTCTGACACGTCCCTTCCTCCATTCGTTTCCAATGTTGGTCTTAAAAATGAGTAATTGAGTTTTTTTCTTTTCAGACTTTGTCTCAGGAGTTCCAAGAGCAGCGAGGACTCTGGGAATGGTAGGAAAGTGAACAAATATTTTTTAAAAAAATCTCTGGGTTATCTTAACTTTTCCTGTGTCTCACACTCTTGTTTTCCCCGCACAGGTTTATATTTATGATGGGAAGAACATGTCCTCCTTACACAACTTCACTGGTGAGCAGGTACGCTTTTAAAACGCTTTTTCCACTTCACATCTTAATGTCAGCATTTCCTAACGTCTTACAATTTTTCTTGGCAAATCCTAATGGTTTAATATTCAATATGTAATAAATATTGGTTCAGTATTCAATAGTATGCAAAATGGGCTTTAGGTATTTTGTATTGTTTTAATCAAAGTAATTTGTTCAGGCAGACACTTTTGTAATTGCATGTTGTGCTAGTTTTTTTAAAAGGAAACGCAGAACCAGGTCACTCACACACAAAACCAGGAACATCCTTTTCTTTGCTGATGACGCTAACCTCTCCTCTAAGGGGCGCTCTTGCCTTTTAAATGTCCCAGGTGCGGGTTTACTCCATGAGGTGGTAACGACACGGGAAAAGTTCGTTATCTCTCGTAGGAACAACTGTCTGGTTTTCAGACCCCGGCTCAGGCCCACGTCCTGCTCAGCTGAGATGGTTGGGCCTCGCGAGAGGGTTGGTAGCAAGAGGGAGGGGACCCCGGTCCCCACAGCCTCTTCCCATTGGGGGACAGTCAGGGTTGCTGCTCAGAAGGGAGTGAATGGCCTGCCATTGGGGTGCCCGGGGGGTGTCCCTCTGTGCTGGGGCGGCTTCCTCACCTCAGACAGCTCCTCCTGTGTGCAGGCATGATCCTCCTGTGTGCAGGCATGATCCTCCTGTGTGCAGGCATGATCCTCCTGTGTGCGGACATGATCCTCCTGTGTGCAGGCATGATCCTCCTCGGCTCTTTGTGGGGAACCTCGGCTTCGAGTTAGGACATCAGGCAGACCGGGGCTCCCTTGCGCAGTGTTACTATTATTATTACTTTAAATAATTTTTTGATTTCAGAGAGGAAAGGAGAGGGGGAGAGAGAGAGAGAAACATCAATGATGAGAGAGAATCCTTGACCGGCTGCCTCCTGCACGCCCCACACTGGGGATGGAGCCCACAACCCGGGCGTGTGCCCTGACCTGGAACCCTGACCTCTGGGTTCATAGGTCGATGCTCAGCCACGGAGCCACGCCGGCCGGGCTGTCGCATTGCCCCAGGGTTTCCCCCTGTAAATCCCGATTCTCACGCACAGAAGCAGGGATGCTGGTGACTGCCCTCGGGCTGTGGCTGGAACCACACGAGCACATGTCAGCCTCAGGCCCAGGCCACAGCCTCAGGCAGCGCCACCCTTTCCATCCCTCAGGCCCAGCGCCCGGAGGAAGGCCCGGCGAAGTGTCCGTGACATTCCAGGCGGCACATCAGCATGTGCCCCCCACACATGCATGTCATTACGTGTGCTCTGACCTCGTACCTGGGTCTAGGCGTGTCTCTCATTTTCCCAGTTACACCGCGTCAGCCCACAACGGACAGTCAGCCCCCAACACAGTCAGCCCACAGCACAGTCAGCCC